AAGAGCAAAACATATGTCTCTAAGGTTAAGGAAGATACCAAGATGGGAAGGGTAGAGGTTGGATGGAGAGCTCTATTGGTCAAGCTTCTAAACAGAAGGTCTGGTTTTACCCAGCAAGTGAATCCATTTTAGTTCTCCCCAGCTCAAAATCAACTTTAAATATGCCTGGTACAAACATCCCTAGACTTATTTGTCTGCAATTTGGCAGGTTTCTTATGCAGAGGCACCTCTCTCATGCCTCCAATTTCCAGACCAATTACCCATGAAACACTAGGGCAGATTCAGCAATTGCTTTTTACACCCCATAAAACTGTAAAGGCTGCCCTCGTGAGAAAATCATTCTAGCTATCCTTCTGCAATTTTGCAGGATGCGTGCTGTCAGAAGGAGTGACCTTGCATGGAAATTTCATCCAGTTCTACCCCAAAATTTAAAAAAATAAATAAAAAGTTATAGATGTTTCCCCTTTACAAAAACAGCTTTTGAAGATCCCCAACACAAAAGCCCCTGGACCTATCTGCCTGCAACTTGGCAGGCTTTATCCAGTCTGGAGGGGCCACCTGTCACCTCAAGTGAGAGATAAACAGCTCACTTCAAGAAAGAGATGTGCACTCCTGGGAATGGGCCAATGTACACATTCCATACATGAATCACATGAATCCCATAGTACAGATGACAGTGCCAATTAGCTGATTTGTCACAGGGAGCACATGGCAAAACAAATATCCCTAAATGATGCTAGTTAGTAAACCAAAAGAACGTGGAAATCTCTCAATTGTTGCAGGCCAATCTGGTCAGTGTGGAAATGATTTGTTGTTGTTGTTGCTGTTGTTTAGTCATTTAGTCATGTCTGACTCTTCGTGACCCTATGGACCAGAGCACGCCAGGCACTTCTGTCTTCCACTGCCTCCCGCAGTTTGGTCAAACTCATGCTGGTAGCTTCGAGAACACTATCCAACCATCTCGTCCTCTGTCGTCCCCTTCTCCTTGTGCCCTCCATCTTTCCCAACATCAGGGTCTTTTCTCATGAGGTGGCCAAAGTATTGGAGCCTCAGCTTCAGGATCTGTCCTTCCAGTGAGCACTCAGGGCTGATTTCCTTCAGAATGGAGAGGTTTGATCTTCTTGCAGTCCATGGGACTCTCAAGAGTCTCCTCCAGCACCATAGTTCAAAAGCATCAATTCTTCAGCGATCAGCCTTCTTTATGGTCCAGCTCTTAAAATGATTTAATTGTTTTCAAATCAATCATAGTCTAGAGTCAGCAAAATCCACCCATTGAGTTGTCCTACGGGAATTTTTATTAAGTCTTTGTGGCTTCAGTAATGAAGGAAAAATCACAAATGCCAACAGCTCACAACTAAACCTGGATAATCTCACACATGAACGTAACTCTGCCTTTAAACCAGTTTCCCCCCAAAACTGTACCTAGGAAACTTGCAGCGTGTATACCCCTTACGGTTTTGGATTGTATTGTTACAAAACTCCAGGTGATTCCTTCTGGAATAAGTTAAAATGAACTGAACAATTTGTAATGAGTTATTTTACACTGTTTGGGAATATAAACAAATATTTTGAGCAAGCACAATTGGTACAATTGGAAAATACAAACATATCCCTTCTTGGCCTCCATACCGTACCCGAGATGTTCTGTTAATCTCTGCTCATCAGCTAAAGTTTTCTGTTGATATAATCATTCTAGCGTATCTCAGTGCCTACTGTGTGACATTTTTAGATTTAAGAACGACTTCTGAGAGCATACTGGGTGTTGTAAGAGGGAAAGCTACCACCCTAAGTAGGGCAGAATGCCTTTCCAAGACAGAGTATGGGAAATTGCAGTCAAATATAACTAGCAAGCTTAGGGCTAGTTAATGCATGAAGGGGTTAAGACCACAGCATGATATTCCTAGACTCAGTTAGGTCATACCCTCTCACCTCCAGGGAAGAAGAAAGTGAAGCTTCCTTTGCTCATTCTCTTCCAGCAGGTGAAGCTGACCTGGCAACATGTCTGGGCTTGATCACTTCAAGCCCAGACCACACGTTCAGAAACATTTTTCTGTATTTTGTAAGCCCAATATTTCTGCCTGTGTTCTTTTTGCTGCTGCATGGAATAACACATGAATCTGACCTTTGGAGTTTGTAAGTAAAGCATTTTACTTTACTAATGACGTGGTCTGTTCACTGCGAGAGAGATAAAGAGGGAAAGTGCTGTAAGCAGACGAAACAGAATATAAAAGGTTTATATTTAAAAGCTTATAATTCCCATGCTTCACTGTCACTACATATTTTGTAATTTTAAAGCTCTGTTGGGGCTCTCTTACTGGAGAATGTGTTCAGCCCCACACCTTGGATCTAGGAATCCAGCCAATTCTTTTATTAATGAACTCGCATGGGATATCTATTTTCCACCGCACACAGAGCCCACCTTGTGACTCATAGCAGGAGTTTGAGTTATGAAATGGGAACAGTTTTCCCTGTCTTGTGGAAAGCTCTTAGATCATCAAGGCAATTTCTCACAATTTGCGTGACATCTTTTCTGTGAGTGAGATGTGGGGGGGGGATTAAGCTTTTTCTTCTTCTTTGTACCTTTTCCTTCCTTTTATCTAAAATCACAGTCACCTCAGCCAACACTTCATGCTTTCTTATGTGTACTGGAAGCATAATCCAACTGAAATGAAAGAGCTGAGTCATAGGCATTGTTGCTTTCTACAGCAGTCTTGGTGGTGCGGGAATGGTGGGGTCCTGTCCCCCCCCCCCCCGTTACTAGTTCTCCTGCACTAGATGGAGATGGAAATTAACTGGCTTATTTGATGTTTAATTGTGGTGATAATTATATACAGTGGTACCTCAGGTTAAGTACTTAATTCGTTCCAGAGGTCTGTTCTTAACCTGAAACTGTTCTTAACCTGAAGTACCAATGAGGCCTCCTGCTGCAGCCGCGCCGCCGGAGCACGATTTCTGTTCTCATCCTGAAGCAGAGTTCTTAACCCGAGGTACTATTTCTGGGTTAGCGGAGTCTGTAACCGGAAGCGTATGTAACCCGAGGCACCACTGTATTTCATTTACTTACTTACTTACTTACTTACTTACTACATTTATATACCACCTTTCATCCAAGGCAGTTTACAATTTGTACTACTAAAACAAACAAAAGAGTACAAACTATCGGACAAGTTTTCTCACGAATGATATGCACTCTCTGGTTTGGGCTTCTCCTCTACTGCCTCCCCTCAGGGTCTTAAGAAGGTGAGGGTGGGATCACCCAAGCAATTCCTTCAGGACACTGACTGTAACTTTAGGAGGTACCATATTTTTCGCTCTATAGGACGCACTTTTTCCCCTTCAAAAATGAAGGGGAAATGTGTGTGCGTCCTATGGAGCGAAGACGCCATAGCCCCGCGACCCTCTCCCGGCTGGAGAGGTGACGCGCGGCTATGGCAGGAGCCTCTTTAGCCGCGCGCCACCTCTCCAGCCGGGAGAGTGCGCGCGGGGCTAAAGAAGCCCCCCGCGACCCTCTCCTGGCTGGAGAGGTGACGCGCAGCTATGGCAGGAGCCTCTTTAGCAGCGTGCCACCTCTCCAGCCGGGAGAGCGCGTGCGGGGCTAAAGAAGCCATAGAAGCTTTCCGCTGCTCCCCGACCTGCTCTTTGGGGCTGGTGGTGGGCTTCCCCCCACCAGCCCCAAAGAGCAGGTCGAAAGGAACCTGAAGCCTGGAGAGTGCACCGACCCCTCTCGCTGTCCAGGCTTCCAAGATAGCCGCCTGAAGGCGACTGAACGCACCTTAAACGGCACCTTGTTTTAGAGGGGGAAAACAAAAGGGGAAAAATTCTCCCCCTCTCTGCGCAGCGCCTCCTGCCGCTTCGCTGAAGGGGCGCTGGGCAGAGAGGGGGAGAATTTTTTTTTCTTGTTCTCCCCCCTCTAAAACAAGGTGCGTCCTACTGTCCGGTGCGTCCTATGGTGCGAAAAATACGGTAATTGTATCTATGCTACCTGATTCCTCTTATGCATTCCCTTAAAAAGGTAAAGGACCCCTGACAGTTAAGTCCAGTCGCGAACGACTGGGGTTGCGCGCTCATCTTGCTCTATAGGCCAAGGGAGCTGGCGTTTGTCCGCAGACAGTTTTTCCGGGTCATGTGGCCAGCATGACTAAGCCGCTTCTGGCGAAACCAGAGCAGCGCATGGAAACGCCATTTACCTTCCCGCTGGAGTGGTACCTATTTATCTACTTGCACTTTGACGTGCTTTCGAACTGCTAGGTTGGCTGGTTTTTATTAATTCATTCTTCTTCTTCTTTGAAGAACTGGAAGCAGAGGGAGCATGAAGATGGATTTGAAGGCTGGATTGCCACGTGACTGACATTTGTGGCAACCCCTAAAGAGAAGGAGACCTGAGTAGGGCGGGCGGGGCCTGAGCACAACCCCACATTTTGCACAACGTCTTTGGGAAGGGCAATGGAGCTATGCAGACTTGCAGCAGTTAGGGGATTTCCAATATCTTTCATGACTCACTGCTGCTCCCTAGGAATACCAGAAGCACAATAAACTGCGCAAAAATTAGCATGCGTGCACACACACACACACACACAAAACACACAAGAGTCCACCATTTGAATGCAGGTTCCTAGTGCTGAATATGAATTAAATTGACCGAGAAGCATTATATGATATAAATCTTAGTAGTAGTAGTAGTAATACATTAGCACAGAGTGTATGCGTCATCCTGGCACAGAGCTACAGAGGTGGCTATTCATTGCACAAGTCAGCTTCAAGTCAGCCTGTGGAATTCGCAACACAAATCCCAGCAGGCATGGGGCCGTAACCTGAGCAGAGCCACTTACTTCACTCATTCTGCGCATTAATAGAAGCCTCACTCACACCAGCCAGTCTAGGCATCTAACCCCCTGATATATCTCAACAGCTGTAGGTATGGCTGGCAGCCTGTCTTTCCCAGCCCCCAACTTGCTCCACTTTGGCATCGCAGGGCTGACATTTCAAAATGCTTTCAGACACCAAGACTTTGGAACACTCCTCAGATATAACTCACAGTCTTCCTTGCCACTGGCAGCTGACCATCCAGAAGTAAGCAGTAGCCACAGCATTAACTAAGCGTCTAGGCATAAGTTTTCCAAGCATGGCTGAAGGCAAGACTTGCAAAGTCCGGGTGACTTTTGCTATTATTTTGATAGGCGTCGCTTTAATGTTTACAGCCGTGGTGACAGATCACTGGGCTGTCCTGAGTCCTAAGGTGGAGGAGTACAATGCTACTTGCGAGGCGGCTCACTTTGGACTATGGCGGATCTGTACAAAGCGGATCTTCATGAAAGAAAATGAGACGGACAAGGAGAAGGGTTGTGGGCCAATAAGCCTGCCAGGAGGTATGTGTCTCTGTTCACTAAATAACCACCTTGACAAAGCATTGTAGACTACTGTATATTACAACATCGAACCAGATACGTTTTAGAAAGTTAAACAGCGTTCTGGGGAAATGGAATCAGAACCACCTCTTTTCTTTCCAAATTAGCCCAGTCGTTTTCTTCATGCTTCCTTGAAATTCAGTCTGTTGCTTTGGCATATATTGTATAAATCCTCACTCCCATGCTCATCAACTAGCCTTTATTTTTGTAAACCATTTTGAGGTTATTTACAATCTAGCGGTGTATAAATTTTATTAAACAAACAAACAAACAAATTGCAGGGGAGGCAGAAGATGAGAGATATTTTCTCCTGGTTCTTTATGAGTTCAGTGAATCTAGTCTTACAGAGCTGGCATAAATCCTTATTCAAGAGATTATAACAAGGGCTTGGTCTCCATAAAAACTCCAGTATATCAAACCCAGCACGGGAGTCGAAGAACGATGTCAAAGGTACAAAGTTAACCTATACTTAGAAGTTAACATCAATAAGTTTGATTACATAGCAGGAAAACACAGGACCATAAGCCATGGATCATTTCACTGCAGGATAACCATTCAATTTAACAAGCAAAACTTAACCGCATCGCTGGAAATAACTGCAGTGAACTCCATACATGCTTCTGAATGCATGATAGTAGAGAGCATCATGGATGCAAAACATAAACAGTAGTATAGCCATCAACTTTTAGTGATGATTTTAATGTTTTGAATTTTTTGGAAACCGCTTAGAGGTTTTAGAACCAGCAAGTGGTATACACATTTTGTTAAAGAAATAAAAAGTTCATATATTGCTACTCTTGACTTGCCTTCTCAAGACGGACAACAAGCTTGGTCAATGCATTCATGTGGAAGGGGAAATTGCGGAAGCAGGCTCTTCTCCCTGCTCCCACATGCATTTGTCCATGTTCTGAATAGTTTCTACATATGTTCAGTGGTTACGTGCATAGAAATGTTGTGTGGTCATATGTAGAAGCTGGTGTCTGCATTCCTTTGTTGTGTGGGTTCTGTCTGAATCTTTTATGTTTGGCTTATGTAAAGGATAGAGCCGTTTCATATAGGTTTCAAGGCTGGCATTGGACCCTTTACTGAATGTCTTTTGTTGAAAGATAACACGGGCATGCAGTCCTGTTAGTTCTCCTGGAGCTCTCAGTTGCTTTTAACATCATCTGCCCTAGTATCCCCTTCTGGAGAGGGGTGGAAGGGACTGCTTGAAAGTGATTCCACTCCTACTCAGGTAGCCATTTTCCAGAAGATGATCCTGGGAGATCACTGCTCAACTCTTTCGCAGTTGCTACGTCCTATTCTTTCTTTTTAACATCTATATGCAACCAGAGGGAGAAGTCATCCAGAGTCTTAGCCTAGATGTCACCAGTGCGTGGAGGTCACCCATTCTTATCTCTTTTTCACAAGGTATGGCTGTGCATGAGTGTGGTAATGGACTGGATGAGGACCAACAAACCAAGACTCAATCCAGGTTGATGCTTTACCCACCCAGGTGAACAATGTTCAGCCTCTTCTAGATGGGAGTTGTGCTTCCTCTAAAGAAGGGTTTCCTAAACTTGGGTCTCCAGCGGTTCTTGGACTACAGCTTCCATCTTCCCTAGCTAGCAGGACCAGTGGTCAGGGATGATGGGAACTGTAGTCCAAAAACCGCTGAAGATCCATGTTTGGGAAACCCAGCTCTAAAGCACAGGTAGGGAACCTCCACTCCACAGTCCAAACTTGGTCCACCAATTTTGCTTCTGAGGCCATTTTCTCCAAACTATGTCCACCTATTCCACCCCTGACATCGTATGTTGGGCAGGTAGATATGGAGTCCCCAAAGAAAGCTGGATTGGACATCAGCTGCAAACTTTGACAGGCCAATCACCTGACATCATTATGACATCAAGGTGCTGCCCACATGTCAAATTTGGCCCATGAGGTGGGGTGCGGAGATAAATATCTAGCTCACTGGGCCAAAAGTGTTCCCCACTCTTGCCATTAATAGTTTGATACCAGGTTACCTGAAAGACCTCCTTCTCCTGTAGGTAGAAGTTTAAATATCCTCTTTGAAAGCCCTGCTCTGGGTGTCCTCACTGAATTAAGTCCTCACTTAATTAATTAAGTGGTTTTGTTGGTTATTGTTGGAACAGCCTTGCCAGGGAAGCTCACCTAGCCATACTTCAGTGGTCTTTTCAGCAACTTCCTAGTCACCCACACATTGTAAATAACTTGCAACCTCTGCTTTTGCTTTTAAATTATGGGGTTATGGTGAATTCCATCTTGTTGCGTTTATGTACCCCCTCGCCATTCTAAAAGTTTTATGTTTTACTTTACTTTTTTATTATTATTCATTGTAAGTCACCCAGAGAACTGGGCAACATACAAATGCCATTGATAAATAAGGCTTCCACTCCCTTTGTGCCTTTGTGAATTCATTTTCTCAATTCGCTGTCTGGAAGGAATGAAGGGCTCTCTAATGTTCAGCTGCATCTGAGCAGCAGTGTCAAAGCAGAATGAATATAGATGCTATGGTTTCTGGAAACAGGGGCCAAGGAAGCATTGCCCCTGTGGCAGTCTGTGCATGATGGGAAACGATACCATGCTATGGGAAAATATTGTGAAAAGAGAAGCCTAGAGATTTGGGAGTGCATCAGGAAGTGGGATTTTCAAGCACTGGGCAAAGCAATGGCATGCAAGGAAAAGCTTCCTTTTCCTTTCATGGAAGTGTAGGAAAGATTATTTCAGCAGGTGTGTGTATCTTTTACCCATGCATCACAAGCTGCTACACCTGCCAAGACTCCCTCTCCTACACAACTATAAAAGGTGCCAAAGCTCTGTCTTCCTTCTGCATCAGGGATTGTAAAGTGTTTTGCTCAGGGCCATGACAACGTAGATGCAGGCCTTTACTTAGCCTCTTGAAAGCTGGAACATGTGATCCAATGCTCCTTTTGAAACTGAACAGCACCTTGCGGAGATAGCTGTGACAAAAACAAGAAGCAAAACTCTGGCAGGGATCGCCACGCTGCTCCCTCTGCCCTGCCTGCCTGCCTTCCTTCTTTGGAGCCCAGCCATAGACATTGATATGTTAGCCTTTCAGTAAAATACCATATTTTTTGCTCTATAAGACTCACTTTTTCCCTCCTAAAAAGTAAGGCGAAATGTGTGTGCGTCTTATGGGGCGAATGCAGGCTGCGCAGCTATCCCAGAAGCCAGAACAGCAAGAGGGATTGCTGCTTTCACTGCGCAGCTCTTGCTGTTTTGGCTTCTGAGATTCAGAATATATTTTTCTTGTTTTCCTCCTCCTCCAAAAACTAGGCGCGTCTTGTAGTCTGGTGCATATTATAGAGCAAAAAATACGGTAACCATCATTACACAGAGTACCTATCATCTTGTTTCGTTCAGTAATTCTGACCACGGTTTGCATTGCCTTGGGAGGCAGGTAACGCACATCCTATCAATGCAAGATGTTTATAATTCTGGCAAAATGTATAGATCCAAGGCACACTCTCCTTTGAAATGTTGTGGCATTCATCATATGAAATTTATTGGTGGGTTTATTATTTATTGCTTTTTATAACCTGCTTTCGTGAAAGGGCCCCAAGAAACAACCATTTTGCGTGCATTCAAAGCACGCGTGTCTGTGCATGCGCAGGCTGTTTTCAGAAATGGAAGAGGGCGGAACAGGCATGGAACAGGGCAGGGCGCAGTGGGCTTATGGGCGCTCTGCCAACACACGCAATGACCCAGAACGCAACCCCTGTGCAAATCGAGGGTTGCCTGTCCATATAACATTAAAACAATAGCTAACAATATCCTTGAAGGCTAAAACATGTAAAACACAACCCATATATCTCAATAGCAGTCGAGATGGCTGCAGGTAAGCAAGCAAAACAAGCCCTACCATTTCAACACCAAACCTCGGCCCTCCCAAAAGCCTGCTAAGAGATGCATTTTAATTAGTCAACAAAATGCCATTAATGTTGCTGAATGATTCACCTGAGACGCAAGGTAATGCTACAGGCAAGGGGCCACCACAGAGAAGGCCCTATCACGCCCCCTAGTCCTTACTCACTAGCAGGGTGAGGTCATCTGCTGATCTTAATGCCTGGGCGGGTTGATTCAGGGGGAGGCATTCATTCAAGTATTTTGGACCAAGTAAGTCATCATACTTACATTGAACCAGACCCAGAAAGTAATTGCCAACTGGCACAATTCCTTTAAAACAGACTTCTCTTTCCCTACTAGTGCAGGCATAGTCAGCTGATTCAAAACTTCCGGCTCAACTTTCTGCTCCATCAATTGACACACCCTCCTTCCCAGCTTATAGCTGATGCCTTTTATGGTTTTTCTTGCCAGGTTTAGAACTGGTCTGGGTGTTGTTGTTTTTTATTATTACTACCGTTACCACCACGGACCCAGCATCTGACTCAGGCTCCAGTCCTGTGGTGTGATTTCTGAAACCTAGAAATTTGTGCCTGAGACTGAGCTAGAGATGCTGGCTTAAGGGAATATCCCACAGCACCTCTTCCTTCTTCTATCGAACTTACGGAGACTACAGCTGGCCTCCAGGAACAAAAGTTCCTACACAGAAATTGACTAATCCATTATTTGCTTAGAATCTGAAGGAGACGGCAGCACCTTACATGCCAGAAGAAAAAGGGACAGTCAAACAAAACAGCCCCTTGCAAGTTGCCCGTGTTACCCACTGGCCTGCCAACCATGCTAATTCATAGCACTCATCAACATGTACAGAGTGGAGGATTAAATATCACACACCCTAAGAGTGCTCCTTTATAAACTAGATCCCGCCTTCATACTATTCTGGAACACTACAGTCGCATGGTATTGTATAGCAATGCAATGATTTTTTAAAAAAGTTATTGTTACTATTTTACAGCTACAAATATTCAACACGGCCTAGGACCCTCATACCTGGTATGCCCCGCGGATGACCTTAAGGTCCACAAATAACAACACTTTGGAGGTCCCGAGCCACAAAGTGGTTAGATTGGTCTCAACTAGGGCCAGGGCCTTTTCAGTACTGGCCCCAACTTGGTGGAATGCTCTGTCACAAGGGACTATGGCTCTGCAGGACTTGACATCTTTCCGCAGGGCCTGCAAGACAGAGCTGGTCCGCCTGGCCTTTGGTTTGGACTCAGTCTGACCCTTATGTTTCCCTCCCCTTATGGTTTTGATTTATGGGCTACTATTAAAATGAGGCTGCATTTTAAATTGTATTTTAACCTGTATTTTAATAAACTGGTTGTTTGTTAGTTTGTTTGTGTCCCCCCCCCCCATTATGCTTTATTGTAACTTTATTGGTGTTAGCCGCCCCGAGCCCGGCTCTGGCCAGGGACGGCGGGGTATAAATAAAAATTATTATTATTATTAACACAAATTCCAGACACCAAGATCTTCATAGATGAGGCGGAATCTCACAGGGCGGGTGCCCCGCCTACTCCTGCCACAAGAGAAAGAGAAGCCGTAGCAGCGGCTTGTGGCGAGAGCTCACAAGTGCTCTGAAAGATCTCACTGGAAGCCGCTGCTTCTGCACGACCACAGTTAGCAAGGCTTAGGCAGGGGGGCAGTGCCACAGGGGTCGGGGCAGAGGGGTGGAGGCAGGGGCAGCACATTCCTGTTCTGCCTCTGGTGAAGTGGGATGGGCCACACCCAATATAAGAACACAGCAGTTCCTTTCAGACTATTTCGATTGTTAGTTCCACGGAAGGGGAAAGAGAGCTGCAGTAAAACATATTTTGTCAAAGCTGAGCACGTTACTGAAGCTGGCATTGCATTACGAAATAAATCAAAGTAGAGACAACTGTTTCATTAGGATCTAATAACCTAGCAACAACAAGCACAAAACACACAACCTTGTTTCAAACAACCAACCTTTCGCCTGGAATTATGTGGCCTATCTAATGTGACCAGGGACTGGTAGGAACTTTTAAAAAAAACTAAAAAAAAAACTGTTAAGATAATTGCATGGTTTCCTATTCATGTTTTAACATTGCCTTTTCCATTGTTTGTACGCCTCTGATTAGCGAGAGAAAGCTAGTCAGAAGACAAATTGAAAGCTTGCAATTTGCTGGCTGGAGAGCTAACAGATGATTGCAAAGCTTTCAGCACTTTAATTTAATTTTGCAAAGCACTAGATGCCTTGATAGCACTATAAAAATAATAAAAGATAATCATTGGGAGTAATAAATTACTGCGTCTGCCATTCAGAAGAAATGCGAGAATTTCTGAGAGTCTCAGATGGCAGGAAGCGGGGGGGGGGGGGGGGGAGGGACCCAGAGTGGTTATTTACAACCCAGTTTAGTAAAATCCCAAGAATGCCCATCAAATCTCTCTACAGACATGCCTCCACCCCCCAGTCTCAGTTAGACACCATAAATTCTAGTCACACTGCTCTGACTTAACTCACAATCTCTATAATTGTCTATTTGTTTGCTGTGCACATTTGAAAGGAAGCAGAGGGGTGTGTATAGCTCAGCTATGTTCTATCTGTGCTGGCATATGCTGACATCCATCACAGGCAGCAAATACACTTGGGCTGCACTGGTTATGAATCTGTTTTATTAAGACAGCTGGTTATTTATGGGCTTTAAATTTAACCAGCAACGTGCAGCGGAGGTAGGTCCATGTGCTTTACCCAAGCTCGCTTTTTGCAGAAAGGAAAAAGAAAGGACCTATATTTCAGGTAGGCTTTAAGCAAGCGGGTAGCGCTGTGGGTTAAACCACAGAGCCTAGGACTTGCCGATCAGAAGGTCGTGGTTCGAATCCCCGTGACAGGGTGAGCTCCCATTGCTCGGTCCCTGCTCCTGCCAACCTAGCAGTTCGAAAGCACATCAAAGTGCAAGTAGATAAATAGGTACTGCTTCGGCGGGAAGGTAAACGGCGTTTCCATACGCTGCTCTGGTTCGCCAGAAGCGGCTTAGTCAGGCAGGCCACATGACGAGCTGTACGCCGGCTCCCTCGGCCGATAAAGCGAGATATGCACCGCAACCCCAGAGTCGGTCACAACTGGACCTAATGGTCAGGGGTCCCTTTAGCTATACTTTTATGCTGAAATGTGATGGCAAACCAAACCACTAACAGTACAGTGGTACCTCTGGTTATGAACGCTTCAGGTTACGAGCTCCGCTAACCTGGAAGTAGCTGCTCCTGGTTGCGAACATTGCCCCAGGATGCGATCGGAAATCACACGCTGGAGGTGTGCGCGCAGCGGGAGGCCTCATTAGCGAAAGCGCGCTTCAGGATAAGAACGGTTTCAGCTTAAGAATGTACCTCCAGAATGAATTAAGTTCGTAACCAGAGGTACCACTGTATATTGTAAACATGATCTAACAGTAACTTAACCAAGGTCCATCAATATGCATTTTAATAGCAAAGCAAGCCACTTAACAGGAAAGAAGAGTGTCTTTTAAGAAGGCAATACTCCTTCTCATAAAGTGAAGGTAAAGGGACCCCTGACCATTAGGTCCAGTTGTGACCGACTCTGGGGTTGTGGTGTTCATCTCGCTTTATTGGTCGAGGGAGCCGGCATACAGGTCATGTGGCCAGCATGACTAAGCCGCTTCTGGCAACCAAAGCAGCGCATAGAAACGCCGTTTACCTTCCCGCCGGAGCAGTACCTTTTTATCTACTTGCACTTTGAAATGCTTTCGAACTGCTAGGTTGGCAGGAGCAGGGACCGAGCAACAGGAGCTCACCCCATTGCGGGGATTCGAACCACCGACCTTCTGATCGGCAAGCCCTAGGCTCTGTGGTTTAACCCACAGCACCACCCGTGTCCCACTCCTTCTCAGAGAGAACCTTAATTAAGAAACAATGCCGTTTGTCATCTTGAAATTGCTAGGACATCCCTATTTTCATCAGAGAAATATTGGGATGTGCCTATTTTCATCAGACAAACATTGGAGGGTTTGCTACTACAGTATTACTACCGGTAGTAATACAGCATGGCCCTATTTTCACTTAGCAAATGTTCCTTTGATATCAACCCCTTCAATAATGTATTAATCAATACTCAGTTCTATTGACTATTTGTGAACTTTTCTGTTATTGGGGGTTGGGGGAATGGGTGACTACAGCACTGGCCGTTTGTTCCTTTCCAAGGAAGCAATTTTCCAAATCTCAACTCAAAAGTAAATATTTTGGATGTTCATTTCCCCTCCCCTCAAAAACTTAGGAAACAAGTGAAGTGGAGTTGGATACAACCCAATTGATCTTAACATGGGATCCAGCCTCCCCTTTCCAATTAGAAGTGAGCTGGTAAAATTTCAGGATGCTTGTGGTGGGCTGTTTATTGGCACAATACTGAGTTGCTGAATAACTGAGTTGTTGAACAGCAGAATTATCCCATCACTTTTCTAACTGCAAAAGTGATGGGAAATTGCCCTGGAAAGTGTGGAATAATAACCACTAGCTGGCAATGCAAACTTCCATGTGAACATTATCAAAATGATTGCTCAATAAACAGGTGATGTTGTATATCCTCAGTGTACATTTTGTGCATACATATCAATATGAATACTCAATGAACAGCCGGTCTGGAAGCTCCTTTCAGCAAATCAAAATATGCTCTTTCCAAATGACGCTCTTTCTTTCTCCTATTTTCCAGTGGCAATAGCAATTTGCATTCCAACAAATAAAGAGCTCAATAGATACAACCCAGGCTTTTCTGTCATCAGCCTAGATGCTGTGTAGAAGCTTTAATAGGATGAGCCCCAGCAACAGGAAACCAAGGTGCAGTTTTAGTTCTGTATTCTGACCAGCTTTTATTTCATTAACATGGATGTGTTTTTGTTTTAAAGATTTTGCAACTCGTCCCGAGATCCGCAGATAATAGGCAAGCTAAAAATACCCTAAAATAAATGAATAAATAAAATTTGCTCCCGGGGAAATGAGAAAGGAGGTTTGCACATAGCCATGACTCAGAAATCATCAGCAGTCAATTCTGAAAGAGTCCATGGCTCTACAGCCATAACCTGGGGAACTTTACACAAACAATTCCGCCTGGGCCCCTTGTTTTTCAAACGGCAGCCCCCTCTGTCCAGCACAAGTTGAAAAATAGATTTTGGTGTGGCAAATAATGTAAGCAAGGTGCATAGAAAGACCCGGTTAAATATGTGCAAACCCCTAGAGCTGTTATAGCATAGTGGCTACGAATCACAGAACTGGAAGGAACCCTGAGGATCATCTGGTCCAAGCAGGGATCGAACTTGCAGCCTTGGCATTATCAGCACCACGCTCTAACCAACTGAGCTATCCGGAAGGTCACAGACTAAGCAACACGTCAGGAAGCCTTCCAGTCTCATCTCTGCTGTGAACTCACTATGTGGCCACTTTTTCTCAGCTTCAGCTTCTGCATCTACAATATGGGCGATGCACACTTACCTTACATGGTTGTTGTGAGAACTGCAGCTAGAAAATGCATGTAAATCGCTTTGATCACTTGAGAGCACTATAACGAGATTAAGCATTAAGGAGTGCTTCAAGTTATGATCCATGCATGCCAAGGTGATGCGCGATTAGAATTCCATGCCTTGAATGGGCTTTGGTATTAATTAATTTTATAATGAATGATTTTAGAGTGTTGTTTGTGCTGTACATTTGTACTGTTTTATTGTTGTTAGCCGCCCTGAGCCCGGCTTTGGCTGGGGAGGGCGGGATATAAATAAATTTTATTATTATTTATTATTATTATTAGCTGAGATGGGAAACAGTGGACTTTTTACAATGCTAAAACCACCTCCAGAGTCACCAGCTATGTAGCTTTTTTGCGCCATTTTCAAATCATGGCCAGCATATATATACAAACACACACACACCCTACCTATCTACAGACAGAAGTTGTCTCAGTATTGGTGACTGATCTACAAGTGTCCTGCTCATGTGGATCTTTCTCTGAGACCCAGCTTGCCAATTTCCATGCATACACCAAGGCCCTGTACAACTACGAACCACAGTCCTGTGCGCTAACTAAATTGGCAATAAAACAAGTGACAAGGTACCAGCCCAGTATAAAAGGATTTGCACAACTGGTTCAGATCACTGCAGAGATCGTACTCTGTCTGCCTTTCATCCTCTGACAACTCGCTGCACAAAATAGGATCAGTATAGGCTTGTGGTGATCCAGCTCTGTGATTCGTTTAGCCATGTAAACTTGGATAATATTCCTAGTGGCAACAAAGAACAACAGTGTATGGAAAGTTTTCATCCATTAAGAAATATATTCCCTATCGGGGGCATAACACAACAAGCATTTTTTTAAGAAGAAGATAGTATTCCCAAGTGCAGTGAGTCACACTGAAAGTGTCTTCATAACAAAAGCAGGTTTATTCTACGACTATTTTTCTAAACCAATCAGTCAGGCATTCAGGATTGTTCTGCTCATTTTGCCAGAACAAATGCAAATGCATAATAAGCCTGTTAATGCTCATGATGGAGCAATGTTTGCCTGCCCTAGTCTTAAACTGTAGGCTTCACTCTTTAACTTCAGAATGTGGGAACCTGGCCCTGATACATTGCAGCTTCCAGTGAACTATAATATTATTGACTGGTAAGATTAAGAGATTGCATGCTAATGTAAGTAAAAGGTAAAGGGACCCCTGACCATTAGGTCTAGTCGTGGACGACTCTGGGGTTGAATGCTCATCTCGCTTTATAGGCCGAGGGAGCCAGCATACAGCTTCCAGGTCATGTGGCCAGCATGACTAAGCCGCTTCTGGCGAACCAGAGCAGCGCACGGAAATCCCATTTACCTTCCCGTTGCAGTGGTACCTATTCATCTACATGCACTGGCGTGCTTTCAAACTGCTAGGTTGGCAGCAGCTGGGACCGATCAATGGGAGCAGGGATTTGAACTGCCGACCTTCTGATCGGCAAGCCCTAGGCTCTGTGGTTTAGACCACAGCGCCACCCGCGTCCCGGTAATGTAAGTACGTGCTCTAATTCGAACTGTGTAGAATAATACTTATTTCCCCTTGGTCCAACGATCAGTAAACTTAGAATCATAGAGTTGGAAGAGACCCCAAGAATCATCTATTCCAAACCCCTGCCCTGCAGAAATCTCAACTAAACTTGGTAAACAAGTAAACAAGCATGTAATTTAATATTAAAATAGAGGAGAGTAAATACTATTGAGGGACGCGGGTGGCGCTGTGGGTTAAACCACAGAGCCTAGGACTTGCTGATCAGAAGGTCGGCAGTTCAAATCCCCGTGATGGGGTGAGCTCCCGTTGCTCGGTCCCTGCTCCTGCCAACCTAGCAGTTCAAAAGCACATCAAAGTGCAAGTAGATAAATAGGTACCGCTCTGGTGGGAAGGTAAACGGCGTTTTCCGTGCACTGCTCTGGTTCACCAGAAGCGGCTTAGTCATGCTGGCCACATGACCTGGAAGCTGTACGCCGGCTCCCTCGGCCAATAAAGCGAGATGAGCGCCAAAACCCCAGAGTCGGCCACGACTGGACCTAATGGTCAGGGGTCCCTTTAAGTACTATTGAACCCAATGGGGCTTAAATCTGAGTAGATATGTATAGGATTGCACTGAGTAGATACATGTAGGATTGCACTTAGGTTGGTTTCTCCAACAACACACATACCAATAAAAATCTAATTATGATCCTAATTTTGGGACAGTCTCTGTTCCTGAGACTGTAGAGGATGCCTTTGGGGTTTTGAAATGCTAGTGAAGATAATATGTCATGATGCTTTGCTTAGTCTGATAACTAAATGCTATTCATCATAATCATCATCAATTTATTATGGCCAACAGGACCAGAAATAAAATACTTTTTCAACTAAGCCCTCTTAAGCAAAGGAAATGGATTTCTGATTTGTGCCGTTAAATCCACAATATGATTTTTATTTTATTTTTTTGCACTTAGGTATATTGATTTGTTTGCAATCCATCTTCCTAAAAACACAGGAGATTAACCATACAATAGGCAACTGAATTTCACTTCCTTTGTGTATGAATTGGCTTTCAAAATGGCTATGCTATTTTAGTAAGCTAAGCAAAGCGTTGCAAAAGTAATGTCATGATAATCAGTCATGATTTCTACAGGCACGAGCTGAAATCCAAATGGCTGTTTTCAGTGCTGTCCTAGGCATGTCTACTCACCGAGTCCCATGGAACTTACTCCCAAGAAAAGCAACAGAGGATCACAGCCTTAAGCTCACACAAGGTCCTTTGCTCAAATGCAGTGGAATTTCACAAGCAGCACTCGCACCCGCTGCCATGCCATACTACAAGCTACTTTTGAAACTCCACTCCGTTTCAGAAGCAGCAGGTTGTACAAGACAGACATACTGTTCTTAGGGGACAGAGGGCGGGCTGGTGTGGAGGACTCCCTGGTCCTGAACGGGGTAACTGTGCCCCTGAAGGACCAGGTATGCAGCCTGGGAGTCATTTTGGACTCACAACTGTCCATGGAGGCGCAGGTCAATTCTGTGTCCAGGGCAGCTGTTTACCACCTCCATCTGGTACCCAGGCTGTCTTGCCAGAGTGGTGCATGCTCTAGTTATCTCCCACTTGGACTACTGCAATGCGCTCTACGTGGGGCTACCTTTGAAGGTGACTCGGAAACTGCAATTAATCCAGAATGCGGCAGCTAGGCTGGTGACTGGGAGTGGCCGCCGAGACCACATAACACCGGTCCTGAGAGACCTGCATTGGCTCCCAGTACATTTCCGAGCACAATTCAAAGTGTTGGTGCTGACCTTTAAAGCCCAAACGGCCTTGGTCCTGTATACCTGAAGTAGCGTCTCCACCTCCATCATTCAGCCTGGACACGAAGGTCAAGTGCCGAGGGCCTTCTGGCAGTTCCCTCCCTGTGAGAAGTGAGGTTACAGGGAACCAGGCAGAGGATCTTCTCAGTAGTGGTGCCTGCCCTGTGGAACGCCCTCCCAACAGATGTCAAGGCAATAAGCAACTATCTTACTTTTAAAAGACATCTGAAGGCAGCCCTGTTTAGGGAAGTTTTTTAATATTCAATGCTTTATTGTGTTTTTAATATTCGGTTGGAAGCCACCCAGAGTGGCCGGGGAAACCCAGCCAGATGGGCGGGGTATAAATAGATGATGATGATGGTGGTGGTGGTGGTGCACAGGGAAATAAATGCAGCCTAAGAAAAAACAATAGCATCCTTATTGTTTGACAGAACTAGGAGAATAGGAAGCCAGAACATTAATCCATCTAGCTCAGTTGGATCCTGGCCATTTTACACACATAACACCCCCAAATCAAATATTTTCACTTGTCTACAGCCACAGTCTCATCGTATTTTACCTTCGTGTGTGAAGAACTGGTCTGCTTCTTACCACCGCAAAATCAGTGTCGTTTCCCTTCTTGTAATTGGAAAAGACGATCAAGAAGGGCAACTGTCTAAACCGAAGCAGAATGCTTTGTGTTAAGAAATTAAAACCACACGTCTGTTTTGCAAACAGTACTGCTTATTCAGTTACCATAAATCAACCGAAGTACAGAAGATTAAACGTTGTGCTAAAGAACTGCATTGTCTCTAAACCATAATTATTGTACCCACACGAGCAGTAATGCACATGGTAGAGTACCATCTTGCACTGAATAATTTCCATGTTATTCCATATTAGCAATTAATTACAGTGCTTAAAATGCCATTGCTCCATAAGCTAGCTGAAAGAGTATTTCTGATGTAAGACACCCAAGAGGATCTTTCCAATCACTTGGAGTTGCCTGAAACAGATGTTGCGCTCTCCTCCTCATAACTTTGTTCTTGTCACACAACAACCACTGTTCCCCTAGTCTGACTCATGGGTGCCCAGAACCCAAAACTGGCACAATACTGTCCCATGGTGGAGGAGCACCAGTGTATTCATGAGGGATGATATAACGGTAAAGGACCCCTGGATGGGGTTGTGGCGCTCATCTCGTTATGAGGCTGAGGGAGCTGGCGTTTGTCCACAGACAGCTTTCTGGGTCATGTGGCCAGCATGACTAAACCGCTTCTGGTGCAACGGAACACCGTGACGGAAACCAGAGCGCACAGAAACGCTGTTTACCTTCCCATTGCAGGGGTACCTATTTATATATTTGTACTGGCGTGCTTTCAAACTGCTAGGTTGTCAGGAGCTGGGACAGAGCAATGGGAGCTCACCCTGTTGTGGGGATTCGAACCACCGGCCTTCTGATCAGCAAGCCCAAGAGGCTCAGTGGTTTAGACCACAGCGCCACCCACATCCCAGGAGGAATGATGTACCAATAGTTCTCAGGAAAGCCTGGCACCCAAAGGCTCTGCAGGGTGATTATAGCATGTTAAGCCATCATGTAGAAAAGTGAGGGAGGCGGGGAGAAAAATATCCATCCAAACATGCCTTTTGGTGCAGTTAGGTAAAGGTAAAGGGACCCCTGACCATTAGGTCCAGTCGTGGCTGACTCTGGGGTTGCGGCGCTCATCTCGCTTTATTGGCCGAGGGAGCCGGTGTACAGCTTCTGGGTCATGTGGCCAGCATGACTAAGCCGCTTCTGGCGAACCAGAGCAGCACACAGAAATGCCGTTTACCTTCCCACTGGAGCGGTACCTATTTATGTACTTGCACTTTGATGTGCTTTCGAACTGCTAGGTTGGCAGGAGCAGGGACCGATCAACGGGAGCTCACCTCGTCACGGGGATTCGAACCGCCAACCTTCTGATTGGCAAGTCCTAGGCTCTGTGATTTAACCCACAGCGCCACCCACGTCCCTCTTTGATGCAGTTAGGGGCCACAAAATTTAGAGCTGCCTAGCCTACAAGTAGGAATGGAAGAAGCAGTCAGTTTCAGATCTCTCAGTTTCTGATTGTTCAAATCTTAAACTCTCCACATTTCTGCAGCAATTTGCATTAAAATGGAATCTCATTAAAATTCATAAGCATCTGTCCTAATACACACATTTTTGCATGCAATTCTGACTAATGTACACCTTTTCTTGCAATTTCCCCATATATTATACAGTTTTGTATGTTATTTTCACTATTATATCAATTTTTATGCACCCCCCCCAAATATTCTGTAAACATTGTTTGTATCTGAACTGTATCACAAAATTTGGTTAAGTTTCAAAGGCTGGCTGTGTTTCAGTTCTCATGTGGTTTCAGAAAGAGCAAATTTGATAATTACCTTTAAATGCAAACTGAGTTGAATTTCCCACCCACCTCCATCCTTACCTGCAAGCAAGAAATCCTGGACAATAATCCAAAGGACACCTGTTTGCGGCAAGCTTCATGCATTATTGTAGTGGAATTAAAAGACAGAAAACATGGTAATGCCACCTGTAGTCATTTTCTATGTAATGAAGGTATTACAGAGAACCTGCCTTATTTGTTGCAGCTGTGTGCAAACAAGTCATTGGCCTATTAACAAACAAAATTACTTATTTAAAAAGTGATAGAGCTGTTGTTGAAAAGCTTTCCTCCTTTGCCTCCCTGGTAGCAAGCATGCACTGCAAATGTTTAGCTGTCCGTGCAGCGGATTTTTATTATAAGGGAATAATTCGTTTCTGAATTTAATTAGATGCGGAAGTTTTATCTCGTTTGTTATGGCCCAAGGACTGAACAAATAAAACTGCTACTACGTTTTAAGAAGCGCAGCATGGCAGAACACACACTCCACAAATCATGGGAACACAGGAACTTCCCATCCCTGTTCTTCTTGCAATTTAGGCACAGAATGAACCACTTCTCATTGCGTGACCACAGTGTAACCCTGCCTGCTCCACAGCAAAATTCCCTAGGCAGGTATACTACATGGTCTCTGGCATGCATTCCACAAATTAGGACATATACCAGTAAGAGCACATACTATAAATATTTAAAAATAATTAAATAATGAAAAGAATGCACAACACGCACGCTCAGAAGACCATGCTACAACAACCAGTTAGTTGCTAACTGAAAAAAGTTTTTGCCTGCTGGCGAAACGAAAGCAGATAGTGGGGGGCAGCCCAGTTTCCCGTGGAAGGGTGGAAGCAGTTTGGGAGCAGCCACCAAGAAGGCCCTGCCTCACATCCTCACCAAACATGCCTGCGAATGTGGCATGATCAAGAGAAAGGCCTCTGCAGAAGATCTCCGAGGCCAGGCAGGCTCATACTGTATAAGGAGATGTGTTTCTTCAGAACGTTCCACTACAATTTATCGGTGTTAAGACTCTGCCTTCCTCTTCAGCCCTATCTTTGTCAGAGGGGAAAGTGCTTAGAAGTTGGATTAGTTCTTGCAGGTTTATGAGGATTTGGTTTTGGGGCTCACTAGCTTGGGGAGGAGGCGTGTGATTCCTCAGGCTCAGGACAGGTGGGGGTCACATGCCTCGTCAAAACCAGAAGGTATAACAGGCCTGCACGTCCTGGCCAGGCCTACACATCCTGCGTCCTGACTAGGTCTCTGCATCTTGGCCAAGCCTCTGCATCTTGGCCAAGCCCCTGCGTCCTGGCCCAGATGACTGTGTTCTAGCCAGGATGCAGGACTTGAAGATGGACTAAAAACAGGGACAATCGGACCAGAAATTATTAAAAGAATGGGAATGCGCTAAAGAGTATATGAAAAAACATTGTTCTGGAGTAAGCATATCGGTATGTAATGAATGATGCTTTGCAGGGTTAAAGAAAAAGAAAAATGATGTAAAAAGTATAAAGACAGAGGTAATCTACATTAGACACAACAATTTAGAAAGAGTAAAACTTTTGAGGTCTTAGAACAAAGGAAGGAAGTCAATATATGTATATGTATGTAATGACTAGATTAGAATGAAGATATGGTTTTATTTGTAGGTGTGTGTTTTTTCTTTTTTTCGTTTTTTCTTTCTTGTTTGTAGAGTTTTATTTTGGATTCGATGTTTATAATTTTTGTTGTAATTTTGCATTGAAAAAAAAAAAAGAAGGATTAAAAACAGAATGTAGCTCCAGAAGCGTGAGAACCGTTTCTTGTTGCAGAAGCAGATTGTTACACCCAGTGCCAAATTTATGTATAAGCTAAATAAGCTATAGCTTAGGGCCCCACTCTCTTGGGGGCCTCCAAAAAAATTTAAAGGAAAAAAACCTGGATGTACATTTCCAAAATATAAGATAAAAAAAAAATAAAACCTACATACAGCAACAGTGTTTTGTAGGCTCCTGTGATGTAAGTAATCAAAATGTAAGTAAACAAAAAACAGCGACAATTTGTTGTTGACGAAGGACAGCTGGACATAAAAGGGGCCCCATTACGTTCAGGGCCTCATCAAATCTAAATCCGGCCCTGGTTACGCCAAGGTATGAGAAACTGAATTTCTCTCTTCTATGCAGCCCTAAAAAGCACAGGGCCCCAGCCTCTTTCTGCCACTTTATACATTTCCATCTTCTCTAGAGCAGGAAGAAAAGAAAGCAATAAATGAAGACCCACCAGCGGTAAAAGCCCAAAACTTTCATTACAGGTTACAGGGAACCAGACAGAGGGCCTTCTCGGTAGTGGCGCCCACCCTGTGGAACGCCCTCCCTTCAGATGTGAAGGAAATAAGCAGCTATCCTATCTTTAAAAGGCATCTGAAGGCAGCCCTGTATTGGGATGTTTTTAATATTTAATGCTGTATTGTTTTTAACACTCGATTGGGAGCTGCCCAGAGTGGCTGGGGAAACTCAGCCAGATGGGCGGGGTATAAATAATATATTATTATTATTATTATTATACAAAAAGCAGCTCCCGTGTTCAAAGGCCTAGTTCTTGGCCTTTCCTAAAAGCTTTGCCAACTCCTTTAACTGATTGTGGGTTCTATCCAATTACAATGGTACCTCGGGTTAAGTACTTAATTCATTCCGGAGGTCCGTACTTAACCTGAAACTGTTCTTAACCTGAAGCACCACTTTAGCTAATGGGGCCTCCCGCTGCTGCCGCACCGCCGGAGCACGATTTCTGTTCTCATCCTGAAGCAAAGTTCTTAACCTGAAGCACGATTTCTGGGTTAGCGGAGTCTGTAACCTGAAGCGTATGTAACCTGAGGTACCACTGTAAGTCACTTCTGCTCACACATTAGAACTTTCTCTCCACACACACACACCCCAAATTTGCTCAGGGGTTTCCTGCAACCCTCTGGGGCCAGTTGAGGGCAGTGTAGGGGGCACATACAGGCCGAACAACAACTTCATTAGATCCAATCTATTATGTCTGTTAAAATTGTAATCACAGTTTCGTAAGTTCGTACTTGCCCACAGACTTCCCCAAAAGGCCTTAAACGAGTTAGTGTGTACTTAGCTGTGTCATCTGTAAAACAGGACCCTGGAGGACTGTTTCAAAGATGAAGGACAGCAGGCCTGCAAAATATTATTAAAATCTTTATACTTTGTACCATGGCCTCTCAAGCAATAGATCATAAGGTTACCTTTACAATACTATTAAATATTTGTCACTTCCCTAAGATCTAGAGGTGGTGCTGCCCAGATTTGGATTGCTTTGGAAGGAGAGATCTCTTGAGGATTATGGCATTTTGTAACATATAGGGAAATGTTTAAGGTTTTGTTATGTTTTTGTATATGTTGGAAGCCGTCCAGAGTGACTGGGGCAATCCAATCTGATGGGTGGGGGTACAAATAATAATAATAATAATAATAATAATAATAATAATAATAGTTGTTGTTGTTTTGTTGTTGTTGTTGTTTACTTACATACATACCAGTAGAGGATAACTGGAGGCAAGTGGCATAAGGACTTCTAGCTGATAGGAGACCTGCTTCCCCCCAGCAGATCCCTAGAAAGATACAGGCTTTTTCTAAAACAGGGGTAGGCAACCTAAGGCCTGGGGGCCGGATGCGGCCCAATTGCCTTCTCAATCCGGCCAGCAGACAGTCTGGGAATCAGTGTGTTTTTACATGAATAGAAAGTGTCCTTTTATTTAAAATGCATCTCTGGGTTATTTGTGGGGCATAGGAATTCGTTCATATATTTTTTTCAAAATATAGTCTGGCCCACCACATGGTCTGAGGGACGGTGGACCAACCTACAGCTGAAAAAGGTTGCTGACCCCTGTTCTAAAAGCTCTCCCCCTTTCAAGATTCTGCCGTTCCTTCTCCACAGAGATATTAAACTCCCAAGGCAGGGAAGGATGAGTAATCTTCCACAAACAGTTCTCACATTCCAGGGCGATCTTTCAACCCTTAGCTTCTGCTGAGGAAATACCAACCACTCATTCATCCCAAACCTTTGACTGAAATTTTCCAAACAAAGATATGGCTGGCACGGTTTGGCCAACATTCGTAACTATACTTCCTGTTATATTAGCACCAGCCAACTGTTGCTTGTGATCTTGCACAAAAGGAGCAAAAAATTCAGAATAGGTAACATAGTTTTGCTATACTTGGCACCTATAAAGCCTCAAATTAAATTCTTGATGTCTATGATATCATGTAGAGAAGGTCTAGGAAATATCTTTGCCTGACATCTTAGAGCAGTGGTCCTGTTAGTTAGGGATGAGGATGAGAATTGTAGTCCAAAAATAGCTGGAGACCCAAGTTTGGGAAACACTGTCTTAGAGCACGGGTAGCCAAACTGGTGCCCTCCAGGTGCTGCTGGACTACAACTCCCATCATCCCTCACCATTAGCCATGTTGGCTGAGGCTGATGGGACTTGGAGTCCAAAAAATCTTGATGGGCATCATGCTGCATAAAACCTGTGATAGAGAGCTGCTACAAGTCGGAGTAGGTGGGGAAGTACTTAATGAAATAGCATGCCTCATTAAAAGGCCCTTTCCAAGAAGAAGAAAGAGAAAATAAAGGAAGCTGCCACTGTATACATACTTACCTTGAAGTAAGTTACTTATGAGAAAATGTAATATGATTGCACATTGTGTTATTTAAATCCCTTGACTGCTTCAGCAGACCTCCAAGTGACCCTCCAGAGACAGTCCCAGATTTACAGAAGCCATCCCAGTTTCTGATTTGATCCCAGAATGTCCCACTTTTCCTCAAGACGTCCCTATTTTCACTAGAGAAATATTGGAGGGTATGCGACCCCAAAGCCAAGGAGATAAGTAACTATACAACCTTTAGAAGACATCTGAGGGCAGCCCTCTATAGGGAAGTTTTTAATGTTTAATATTTTATTATGTTTTTATATATGTTGGAAGCCACCCAGAGTGGCTGTAGCAACCTAGTCAGATGGGTGGCGTACAAATAATAAAATTATTGTGGTGGTGGTGATGATGGAACAGGACGTCCTATTTTCATCGAAGAAATGTTGGAGAGTATGATTCAGCATTCAAGGGGGGGGGGGAATGTGCCTTTATCCATTTGCCTTTTCTTTTGTTTCCCTCCAGAACGCAACTGTTCCTATTTCACACACTTTGTCTCAGGAGAGAGCACAGAGATTTTTGAAGTGTCAACACAAAGAGGTAAGGAAAAACCGGTAAGGCGGCCATCTTGTTCTCACTACAATATGCCTCACACAATAAATGTCCAATTCAGGAGGCATGGAATGTGACTCCTCCTAAATACGGAAAGACAAAATGGGCTGCAATGGGAGGCTTTCCAGGGATACGATTGGAGAACACAGTTCTGTGGAGTTAGTTGAAAATTCATATGGTGTAGCTACATAAAGGTTTAAGCTGCAATCTTATGCATCCTTACGTGGCAGCAAGCCCTATCGACTCCATGTGGCTTCCTCTTGAGTCGACATGCGGAGGATTGTGCTGCTAACTGGACTTTCTAGAGCTGGGGACGGGGTTCATAGTCACAAGTAAAATTTTGTTCTTAATAGTACTGGAAAGCCTTTCCCCCTCCTATACCTGTGTTCTTACTACACAACATACAGTATTTTAACATGTATCTATAGTGTTTAGCTATCTTACTGCTGTTATTTTGGATTTTTAAGGTCTTTTCTTGCAATAAAATTATTTTTAAAAAATTAAAAATGTTCCTCTTCTATCAGCAGCCAATATAGCTCACTCAGTCTTGAGAATGGGGAAGGGACCCTCCACAGTTTGTTCATGGGGATCAACCTGTTGACCTTCATTATCTTTTTCAGTAGTAATATGGCATCATTACTGCTAAATTCAAGTACTTTTACTATGGCTATCTGATAAAAACTGCCTTAACTATACACATGGGTAACTTTTATTATGTTTCAGAATAACAATATTTTAGGGTGGTATTCTTCTCTTTTTATATTTTATTTTATTTTATCTTATCTTATCAGATCTATTATATCTTGTCAGATTTCTTATCTCTCACCAGATCTCCTACCTCTTATCAGATCTGTGCTTCTTCCTCCACGCCAGCCCAACATCTTATTTCTTAATTCTTCAATACTATATATGTTAGCATGAGGCAAGCAAAAAAATGTTTGCAATTTTTATACAAATCACTGTTTTAAACCCCATGAAAGCTTGTTGCTGCTGCTGCTGTTGATAGTAATAATAATCTTAATAATTACTATAAAAATACTAATAATAATCTGAAGAGTTTCCTTCAACCTTTATGCTTTAAATCATAAACATTCTATGCATAAAATCTGGATTTCTGCACACATTTATTAGCTGTTTGCACACTATTAGAGGCATCCATTTGATCTCAAAAACATGTCTATCCCATCATTATTCACTTCAGAGGAAATCCTCAGAGTGCACTGCTAAAAAAGTTTTGTTTTTTTAAGTGCACAAACCATCTCAAATTCATTTTTCAAAGATGTTCAAAAGCATTTTAAATGTATGTCAGCCTATCCCAAGTGGAATCAACCTGTATCAGGGCCAAACTAGATATGATGGCAGCAGTTTAAACTGGAGGGTTACGGAGGAGAAATGTGCTCAGTTCACATTTTAATGCAAACCTACCTTATTTGCCCACCCCAAGCCAACGCATGAAACAAAACACAGTTGTCCTGTTGTCAGGCCTCGGGGAAACGGCTTCCTCCCTCCCTTTGGCCGTGGATGAGAAGAACAAAGCAAAAATAGTCTCCTCCAAGTTAAAGAGATTTTAATGTTCACAGCGAAAGAACAAGAAGTCCATTCTTGGGGGAAAGGTGCTTCCAATTAAAGTTTCCACCCACTTCACCGCGAGCCACTCCCGTCACTTTCTCATCTGGCAAGCCTTATCTGCTCTCCATGACCTTGGACTGATCGGTTGGACACCTTCCAGCGAAAGGGAGTCTGTTAATTCTCTCTCCCCCTGTTCTTCTTCTCCTAGCTGTTTCCCACTCAGTTCTGCCCAGCTGTTGTCTTCCGAACTATGCCCCTCTGCAAACCACTGCTCCAAATCTATACTGCTCCTGGGCAGCTTCAGGATCCTGGTCAGAAGCAGGGGGAAGGCGAGGTCCCCACCATTCCTCATCAGAGTAGCTCCCCTCAGCCTGGTCTCTGACACCTGTGTAATGTGCATGTCTCAAAATTTTGCAGTGCAGTTCTTCTAACCCCCCGCCCCCCGCTACTTGACAAAAATACATCTTATAATGTATGTTAGGGGAAGGTATTCACAAAAATGCATATATCTAGTGAAAACAATGTACAAAATGTGTTATATTGGGGAAACCTTGTTTGCAAAACTATGTGCATATTTACAGGATAACAGATACAGTCATACCTCGGGTTGAAGTTGCTTCAGGATGAGCGCTTTCGGTTTGTGGTGACTTCCAGGTTTCGCCACTTGCGCATGCGCAGACGCTCAAAATGACATCACGTGCATGCACGGAAGCGGCAAATCGCGACCCGTGCACGTGCAGACGCGGGTTGTGTTCACTTCAGGATGCGAATGGGGCTCCAGAACAGATCCCGTTCACATCCTGAGGTACCACTGTATGTGCAAAATAAAAATGCATAAGGGTTTTTGGGCAGACTCTTATTAGGAAACTGATGTGGGGCAAGCTGAACTTTTGGGGAAATGAGTAACGGACATGGACAAATTTGCTTGGTGCTTATTTAACACACAGGACTGCCCAGGTAAGGCTGCAATTGCAAAAGTGGTCGCCAAGTGGGGAGGGCAGAAACCGCCCACTGTCAAAGGTCTGCCTCCCTCAGCTTCTTTGCCTCCTACAGCTCCTCTCCCGTGGTGCTTTTCTCCAAACTTAGGTGACTTCCAGTCCCGGAGTTCCTCTCAAGCCCTTGAGGAGAAAACTGGGGCTGTAAAGTGAGGCAGATGGCTGGGTTCTGCACCTTTCACTGGGGTGCCATTTTTGCTGTTAAAATCAGACGCTGCCCTTTTCCCCCCTATGTGATATGGGACAGAAAAACATGAAGGAAAATATGTAATCAGAAAACAACAGATTTAAGTGAAACATATTTGCCATTTTGCAAAAATCAGTGTACTTATATTGGAGCCAATTAGCAGGAAAATAACCTTCAAGATTTCTCCTAGATTGAACAAACGGGGAGTGGGGCATTGCAACACTTAAAAACAACATAGAAGGCAAATATCAGCCACTGTAATATTAATGCATGGCTGTGCGTGTTAAATATTAAATATATCTGCAAACTAATGCAATATGTAAACAAACCTCTGAATTATTAAATTAACATATCCATCCTTTCCTTGCTCAGACATTGGCTTGTTTGTTTGGCTTCATAACATACAACATACTTAGCTTAGCTATGCAGTGCAAGAGTGCTGACCTAAAGCCTTGGCTCAAAGAAAACAGAGCTGTAAGTGAGATCGGAAGGAAATGTCCCAATCCTGAGCAATATGAGCTTCTCAAACTGCAGATAACTCCAGTCCTGGTCGGACTGCACTGCCAATAAGTTTCCAGGCTCAATAGACCTATACAACGTTGTTGTCGTTTAGTCGTTTAGTCTGACTCTTCGTGACCCCATGGACCAGAGCACGCCAGGGACTCCTGTCTTCCACTGCCTCCCGCAGTTTGGTCAAACTCACGCTGGTAGCTTCCAGAACACTGTCCAACCATCTGGTCCTCTGTCGTCCCCTTCTCCTTGTGCCCTTCATCTTTCCCAACATCAGGGTCTTTTCCAGGGAGTCTTCTCTTCTCATGAGGTGGCCAAAGTATTGGAGTCTCAGCTTCACGATCTGTCCTTCCAGTGAGCACTCAGGGCTGATTTCCTTCAGAATGGAGAGGTTTGGTCTTCTTGCAGTCCATGGGACTCTCAAGAGTCTCCTCCAGCACCATAATTCAAAAGCATCAATTCTTCGGCGATCAGCCTTCTTTATGGTCCAGCTCTCACTTCCATACATCACTACTGGGAAAACCATGGCTTTAACTATACGGACCTTTGTTGGCAAGGTGATGTCTCTGCTTTTACAGTGGTACCTCGGGTTAATAATGTAATTCATTCTGGAGGTCCATTCTTATACAACCTTAAACGGCTCAAGAGGAGGGAGGCCAAGAGGCAGAGATGAATCCGGCTGGGAAAGCGGCATGGGTGTCTCCCCCTACTGTTGTGACAAGCTCCCCTCCCCCGGTCTCCCAGAACCAGGAGAGGGATAAAAAGGGCAGAGGAGAAGTTAGATTCATGCAGATTTTGTCTCAGATTGCTTTAGGAAAACCTGGAGAGAAGGGGACTTAGGCAGCTGTTAGGAGGCAGGGACCTTCAGTCTGAGCGACTGCCTCACTGGGGCAAGACCTCCCGGAGGTAAGTTGCTGTGCTCATTAGGCCTGACACTCCTGTGCAGATCCTATTTTTGCTAAAAAGGAGTTAACTCCAACTTTCTTGGTGTGATATGCTGCTGGCTTGCTCTTGTCAGATAGACATGAAATGTCAAAACATAAACTATCAATTAATGAATGAAATAATAAATGAGATAACAACTGCACATGGAAAGCCTTGGACTGTCATAAGCCTTCACCACCACCACCACATATTCTTAATGATTTTTATTTGCTTTAAAGGAATTCTGCAGGACCAATGCGGCTGGAAGAGTTGTCTGAAGAGAGTCATCATTTTTCCCCTCTGTTTTGTCTTGACAGAATACAGCATTTCTGCAGCTGCCATTGCCATCTTCAGCGTTGGCTTTTCCATCATCGGAACTATTTGTGTCCTCTTATCCTTCAGGAAAAAGATGGATTATCTCCTAAGGCCAGCTGCTATGTTTTACACCTTTTCAGGTAGATCATCACACAAGGGGGTAAATGGATGCAGATTTCATGGTGTGAATCAAATTCAGGGGAAGAAGGGGGAGCAGAATGTTGATAAAGATTGAAATAACGGAGGGGGGCAGATTTGAGTGGCATGCCAAAGAAGGAAACAATTACTTTCACCTGGGAAAGAAACATACTGAGCTAGTTCATTGCTCTTAATTTCCTCTTGGTGTAAGACAGAGACCACATATTGGGCTCCATTTGTAAATCTGCCTTGTCATTGCATGCTGGTTCTGCTAAGCGTACTCAAACTTCTCAGGATATGTTGTGATTGTTTATTCAAGCCTCTTGAAGTCCTTAGTTATGTGCCTCTCACTTCCCTGAGCAGCTGAAAGTTACCAAAGTTTGCCTTCTTTCTTGGGAGGAGAGCTTGGTCTCGTCGTAATATTTCACTTATTTGCAAATATAGAAGTGGAGCACAGGTAGAGACAAGCAGCTTAAGACAAGCAGCAAATCCACTAATCTTCATCAGATCCCCAGAGAGCCACTCCAGCATCCCAAGATACCTGCCAGCCTCCAGCTAGCTCTCTGTCACCATCTCTCCTCTTGTCTTAAATGAGATGCTCTCTCTCTCTCTCTCTCACACACACACACACACACACACATATCTCTTAGCTCAGTGATGGCCAAACTTGGCCCTCCAGCTGTTTCGAGACTACAACTCCCATCATCCCTAGCTAACAGGACCAGTGGTCAGGGATGATGTGAATTGTAGTCTCAAAACAGCTGGAGGGCCAAGTTTGGCCATCACTGTCCTAGCTGATGGGCGGGGAACACCTTCCTCGGACTCTGATGGGTCTCTCACACAATCCTTTAAGGAATTTTTTTTCCTGGCCTTCCTGAAGAAAGAAAGAAAATTTTGCTGGCAAAGGCTGTGGCCAGGCCAGCCTTCACAGCTTTTGTTGTGTGCATGCATACACATACACATGTGGCCTGTGTGCATGAGCACACCCAGACTCACAAATGCACAGAACATGGAGGATAAGGCTGTTGAAGGCAACAAATCATATTGGCTGTATCCCACCGATCAGAGGTAAAGGTAAAGGTAAAGGGACCCCTGACTATTAGGTCCAGTCGTGACCGACTCTGGGGTTGCAGTGCTCATCTCGCTTTATTGGCCGAGGGAGCCAGCGTACAGCTCATGTGGCCAGCATGACTAAACCGCTTCTGGCGAACCAGAGCAACGCACGGAAACACCGTTTACCTTCCCACCAGAGCAGTTCCTATTTATCTACTTGCACTTTGAGATGCTTTCGAACTGCTAGGTTGGCAGGAGCAGGGACCGAGCAACGGGAGCTCACCCCGTCACGGGGATTTGAACTGCCGACCTTCTGATCGGCAAGTCCTAGGCTCTGTGGTTTAACCCACAGCGCCACCCGCATCCCGATCAGAGGTAGCATGCCTCAAAATGCCAGGTGCTGGGGAACAACAGCGAGATGATGCTATTGCCTTTATGTCTTGCTTACGGGCTTCCCATAGGCATCTCTGTGACAAGCAAGTGGTGCTGGACTGGACATTCTATTCTATATTCCAGCAACGGTGGGCAATCAGAAAGAAGACGTTGGATTCAGCTAAGCCCAAAACCAATTAAGATCACGACAGCGAACCCTGTTTGTCAGCTGTTTACAGCTTTTCCTTTCTTCCCTCCCTCCAGGCTTGTGCATTATCATATCCGTGGAAGTCATGAGGCAGTCTGTCAAAAGGATGATTGACAGCGATTACACGGTCTGGATAGAGTACCACTACTCGTGGTCCTTCGCCTGTGCCTGCGCCTCCTTTGTCCTGCTCTTCATCTGTGGGATTGCTCTGCTGCTCATCTCCTTGCCACGCATGCCCCAGAATCCCTGGGAGACTTGTATGGATGCCGAGCCAGAGCATTAAGCCACTCCGGGCTCGGATTGCCACTTAAGTAACATCCTATCCCCCTGCTCTGAGCATGCATACAGAAAGGTCAGCTATATATATAGATATTATAAGAGGCCTCCAGGAGACAGTGTAGGATGACTGAAGAATCTCTGGAGAACACTTGTTTGTGGAATCGAAGGGGGAGGTTAAATACAAAGCATCGTTCATTTAAAACAAAAAATAAAAGTGTTAAGATTACTGGCTCCGGAATCGTGTACAAATAATTGTGCTCTGCGGCACTATCAGTTTGTAATATGCCCAATGTAGATGAGGAACGGATAGCATTAATCCACTTGAATGGAAATGTGCATTTAAGAGAGCGCTTTTGTCCATTTTTTTACCCCACCCAGCTTCCATAAAATATGAGGGGGAAGCAAAAAAATACAAGGCATATTCTTGCCTTCCTCTGTGAGTTAACCATATTCTCCATCTCTATCACTGGATGAGGACTTGATTGGCGAATGACTGTAAATAATGTTACAACTAATCTGTGGAATGTACGACATCATTAAGCGCATAACAATAAAAAAAAAGATTTTGGATAATGTCAGGGTGGAAGAGTCTTCCTAACCACATTACAAGCACCTTGCTGTTTAATGTCAGCTTTTGTGATTTTATTTGAGCTCAGTGAGACATCTTGACTGGGGGAAATGGTGAAATCACGTTTAAAATTGTATTCTTAGGATTGGAGGGCTGCAAGCGATCTCCTCCAAATCTAACTTTTTCTAACAAACTGACCCCATATACTCCACATCATGCAGTGTAACAAAGCAGATCACCACGTTTCACCAAGGAAGAGGTGCCACTGAGAAGACAGAGAATAAATGTAGGAGGCACTGAAGAAATGACTCTTTCAAAAAGAAAAAGAAACACACACTTTTAGGTTGATGTTCCTTGAACATCATCAGAACAAAATGTTCAGGGCATTATTCTTTATTTAAGCTCTGAAAATATCTCAAGCCCTGCCTGCCCCCATTTTCAAGGGACATAGAACACAAACCCAGTTTTAGTTTTGACATACAAAGTCCCAAACAATTTAGGTGCAAGCTATCTGAGGGAGAACTTTCCTCCATACTGACTGTTATGTACTGAGTTGAATAGGATCCAAACTGCAGCAGTCTGATTGGTCCTAGAACAATAGGATCCAAATTGCAGCAGTCTGATTGGTCCTAGAACAATAGGATTCAGAATGCAGCAGTCTGATTGGTCCTAGAACAATGCAGCGGTATGATTGGTTGGCAGGAACCACCCAATCATGCTCCAGATATAAGTGAATCCACAACCTGATTGGCTTACAGTAGAATTCCAGAATTAGCCAATCATGTGCAGCCCATTGTGTAAATAATGTATATAAAGCAGATACTTTGAGGGGACTTTCATTCGTTCCTCCTCACCACTATGAGCTGAATAAAGAGCATGAAATCACTTTGCGACTCTGAGTATATTTCACTGACCTACCCAATCACCGAGGTTTTCCAGTGAGGCCTTCCTGGTTGCCTTACTATCTTGAGAGAACTGTTTGGTGGTGATGCAGTAGAGGGCCTTTTCGGTAGTGGTGCCCTTGTCAGAATGGCCACTCCATTGAATTAAGGCAGGCACCAACTTGGATCACATTTCAGTGTCTGCTAAAAAATAAATAATGTGTTCCCTCAGGCCTTTGATGGATATTAATACCAGTTTAACCTATTAATATATTTGCTTTGGCCTAATGTTGGCTGCTTTGTTTTTTTCAGTAACTAAATGTTGAGGTAATATTACTGACTTTTTTGTACATCACCATATCCTCCAACATTTCTCTGATGAACACAGGGGCGTCCCATTCCATAAGGATAATTTTATTATTTATACCCAACACATTTTACTGGGTTGTCCCAACACTCTGGGCAGCTTCCAACATATATAAAAACATAAAACATTTTTTAAAAAAACTTCTCTATACAGGATTGCCTTTAGACGGCTCGGGGGTCAGAAAACTCCATACCCTCTAGCATTTCTCCAATGAAAATAGGAATGTCCTAAGGAAAAGCGGGACATTCCAGGATCAAATTAGAAACTGGGACGGCTTCTCTAAATCAAGGATGTCTCTAGAAAATAGGGACACTTGGAAGGTCTGCATCACTACTACCACCTTGTGATGTTTACATGAATAGTGGTATGGAAATAGTTTTAATAAGTAAATGTAAAGGTTGGGATGTTAGTAAAGAGGTTTCTAAATCTGAGCCCTACCATTGTTCTACTGGGCCACACAACTTCTACAAACAGCAATATTCAACAATCCTTTATCAGGCTTAGCTGCTTTCCTCATTTTCCCAAAGGCTACCTCACGACATAACGAAGCTGCCTGTCACAATTTGTAAAGGGATTTTTCGCACATATCTATTTATACTGTTGGAAATTTAATTTAATTGCTACTATATCTAATTATATGGAAGCTGAACATTTATCCTGACTTGATTGAGAGAGACACAAAACTTTCCCTAAAAGGTAAATACAGTATCTTTAGCTAGAAGCTCAGTAGCTGTATGCAATATGAAATCCAATTTTAAGTGGGTTCCCTAATGTCCCTCTATCACTTGTCCTGGCAGAAAACCAGAGATTCTGACATAGTCAATATATGCATATAGTCATTTATATGTTGCGTCTCTGCCCAACTTCAAATTGTGTCACACTTCATTTTCATTAGTATAGCTATGTGTCAGCTGAGGTAAAAGAAGGTTGTGTGTTTGTTCCTCTCTACCTATATTTTTCTAAGCAACTATCTTGGCTTGGATTTAGTACTTTAAAGAGAGATTCAATGTAGAGTATACATGATGCATACCCTCCAACATTTCTCCGATGATGATAATAAGATTATTATGAAATAGGAACGTCCCTATTATCTATACCCCTCCCATCTGACTGGGTCACCCCAGCCACTCTGGGCAGCTTCCAACATATAGAAAAATATAATAAAACTTTTTTTTTAAAAAAAAACTTTCCTATACAGGGCTGCCTTGTCTTCTAAAGGTCATATAGTGTTCTAAAGGTTGTATAGTTATTTACCTCCTTGGCTCATGGGTCACATAACTTCAAACCCTCCAACATTTCTCTGATGAAAGTAAGGACATCCTACCGTATTCTCTGATGGAAATATGGATGTCCTAAGGAAAAGTGGAAGGGATGCGGGTGGCGCTGTAGGTTAAACCACAGAGCCTAGGACTTGCCGATCAGAAGGTCGGCGGTTCGAATCCTCGCGACGAGGTGAGCTCCCGTTGCTCGGTCCCTGCTCCTGCCAACCTAGCAGTTCGAAAGCACCTCGAAGTGCAAGTAGATAAATAGGTACCGCTCCAGTGGGAAGGTAAACGGCGTTTCCGTGCGCTGCTCTGGTTCGCCAGAAGCAGCTTAGTCATGCTGGCCACATGACCCGGAAGCTGTACGCTGGCTCCCTCGGCCAATAAAGCGAGATGAGTGCCGCAACCCCAGTCGGCCACAACTGGACCTAATGGTCAGGGGTCCCTTTACCTTTACCTTTTAAGGAAAAGTGGGACATTCCAAGATCAAATCAGAAACTGGGACAGCTTCTGTAAATCTGGGACTGTCCCTGGAAAATAGGGATACAGTGGTACCTTGGGTTACCAACACCTCAGGTTACAAACACTCCGGGTTACAGACTCCGCTAACCCAGAAGTAGTACCTCGGGTTAAGAACTTTACCTCAGGATGAGAACAGAAATCGTGTGTCGGTGGTGCGGCAGCAGCGGGAGGCCCCATTAGCCAAAGTGGTACCTCGGGTTAAGAACGGTTTCAGGTTAAGAACGGACCTCCGGAACGAATTAAGTTCATAACCAGAGGTACCACTGTACTTGGAGGGTCTGCATGGTGATGCCAGGTGACTTAACAGGCAGGTGGTCTTGCCCACTTGTAAAGGTTGGCCTGTGGGGGGGGGGGCAATAGCCAAGGAGGGCGAAACTCCTTGTGCATCAGCTGATTTGCAGGAAGTTCAATCCTGCTTTCTATAGGGTTCAGTGCTCCTGCCAGTTCCCTGTGGGGAACTCATTCAAGCATCCAAACCAAACAGGACTGAATTCCCCACCCATCTGCTGATGCACAGGGAGTTCAATCCAGCTATATCCCTATCTGTCAGACGTGGGCAAGATGGGTGTGAATTGGGGGAACAGTCTCACTGGTCAAATGCGGAGGCCTGGTGGGCCAAATTTGGCTCGCATGCTGGAGATCCCCCACCCCTGATGTAGATATAAACTCCTATCATCTCACATACTGCTCTAGTAACTTCGCCTGTTCCCTGGTAGACCTTGGCTACTTCAGAGGAAGGAATGAGACAGCTCACATTTTGAAGTTTAAGAGAAATTACTGAATAGAGAAAAGAAAGTAGGGGAAAGAGAATGAGGAAGCGAGTCTTCAAAATTCCCAACACACAATACTTAAACTGCTGCAGATATGGGGCGTAAACATAAAGAAAATTTTGGGGGAGAAAGCAAGGAAATGGCAGCTGGGAGTCTACTGTTATAGTTAATTGCTCACTTGAGATGTTGTGAGCCATTTTGGGCATGATTTTGTGGGAAAGTGACATACAGATAAACAGATGATGATGATGATGAAGCTGCCAACAAGTTCGAGTAAAAGCTGTAGCAGCTCAAAAATTATGAGAATATAGGAAGCATCTATTGTTTTGTATTGGTTGAGAAAATGGTGGAAAGCAAGACCCCATGTATATCAATGGATTCTGCCCTTTTTGCCTAGCCCTCCTTATTGATTTCCATCAGCCAACAACTGCTTTCTAAAATTCCATATGGGATTTGGTTTCCTTGAACGGGAAATTAATCGTCTCAACTAGCACAATTATACACTTTATAGGACAGCAACTCTTAGTATCTGACAGGCAACGCTACTAGATAGACTTGTTTGTATGCCCAAGGCATGCTGGGGCACTAAAAATAAGAACTAATGAACATGTTGACTGAATATCTATGCAGCCTTTGGTTGCGGTCGGGTCTAATTTTAAAATCACTTGAACACTGAGAATTTCTTAAGTACAGCTGTTTACAGGCAAAAGAATGAGGCGAGGAGAGAAATTCTAATGGCAATATAGTGATATCTCAGAGCATATTACGTACTTGAATTGTGTGCTGCAAAAATTCCAAGCCTTTCCCTCTCGTAGTTGCTAATGTAGTCCTTTTTAATGGCTGCTGCAGTCATGTGATCAGTCATGTGCTTTGTCATCAGCCAGTTTTACTTTTGGTGACTCTGATACTTTGTCCCTCCAGCGAGGTACACGGAACCATCACAGAGATATATCAGGAAAACTTTTATATTTTTATATACCGGCAAATCTGCTTTTGCTACCAATGCACACTTGTCAGGGAGGCCAAGCCCAATCCCAACTCACAGGTGAGAGAATCTGGGAAAGCTATGTTTGCAAATACATTTGTCATGTGTGTACATGTACACATAAAGCATTTGATCAGGATACCCTTTGAAAACAGAATTGTGTGAAGTAGTTCTCAACATCTTTCATCTCTCAGTTCAACAGGCCATTATAATTATAATAATGATGATGATAATAATAATAATAATAATAATAATTTTATTATTTATACCCCGCCCATCTGGCTGGGTTTCCCCAGCCACTCTGTGCAGCTTACAGCACATAAAAATGGTGAAACATTAGACATTAAAATTTTCCAAATACAGGGTTGCCTTCAGGTATCTTCTAAAAGTCAGATACAGTGGTACCTCGCGTTAAGTACTTAATTTGTTCTGGAGGTCCGTTCTTAACCTGAAACTGTTCTTAACCTGAAGCACCACTTTAGCTAATGGGGCCTCCTGCTGCTGCCGTGCCACCGACACACAATTTCTGTTCTCATCCTGAAGCAAAGTTCTTAACCCGAGGTACTATTTCTGGGTTAGAGGAGTCTGTAACCTGAAGCGTATGTAACCTGAAGCATATGTAAGCCAAGGTACCACTGTATTTGTTTAGTTCCTTAGCATCTGATGGGAGGGCGTTCCACAGGGTGGGCGCCACTACCGAGAAGGCCCTATGCCTGGTTCCCTGTAACTTCAACTTCAACTTGCCACAAATGGTTCTACTTACACCTATCCATCCCCAGACTAGTTATTGTTGCCCTTCTGCCTATGACAATGTAGTGTGTGTGTTGATTCTATTTTATTACTTTCTATTTTATTATTTTCTTATTGCTCTACATCAGCTAGAATAAAGGTTTAGCAGTAAGGAATTTCAGGCTTACCCCCTTTAAGAGGCACTATTCTGTCCCAAGACTAAGGCGCACAAAATCTGGCATACTTCCTTGTTCTCCGTTCAGTTTCCCCATCTCACATCATCCAGGTTAAATGTGGCCATGCTGAACCGGGAAAGTCTGTGCTCAAAATGTTAAGGGGAAAAACAGTAAGGCTTCCTTGGAGAGGGGACGTGTATCATTCAAAATGGCTATGTGGAGGAGCAATTTCCTCCAAATAAATGAGAATTAGGCCTACCCAAAGCAATTATCTTACTGAGAAATTCATGCTCATCTCCCATACACAACAGCCGTTCCTTTAGGATATTCCTAATGACTGCTTGGCTGCTCCAGTCCATACCCACACAGAAGGATCATCCTTGAGGTGAACCACAAAATTCCATTGCCACCATCGCTCCAAACATTATCTTTATTGTTATTATTAATAATAATATACCATTTAAACCCCGCCCATCTGGCTGGGTTTCCCCAGCCACTCTGGGCAGCTCCCAACCAAATATTAAAACACAATACAGCATTAAACATTAAAAACTTCCCTAAACAGCGCAGCCTTCAGATGTCTTTTAAAAGTAAGATAGTTGTTTATTGCCCTGACATCTGATGGGACTCAAGCACCACTACCGAGTAAGCCCTCTGTCTGGTTCCCTGTAACTTCACTTCTCGCAGTGAGGGAACCGCCAGTGTGCCCTCGGAGCTGGACCTCAGTGTCCGGTCAGAACGATGGGGGTGGAGACGCTCTGTCAGGTATATAGGACCAAGGCCATTTAGGGCTTTAAAAGTCACTTTGGAGTCACTCACTTCTTAGCCGTGATGGCTGATCTATTAAAACAAACGGGGCACTGCAATCTTAAGTCTGCCCTCACACAGTATCTGCTTCTCCTGCCTTCTTACTTATATCCAGTCCAGGGGAGTATCACTGGCTCTCAGGTGCCTCCTTGACCTGTTGTTGCCCTTGCACAACCAGGAGGAGGATGGGAACCAAACTAAAACTGGTTTAGCTCTGTCCTTGGCTCCTACACTTGGCCACCCCACCTTCTCCCATTGCTCAACATGCAATTATTTTGTTCCCAGGCCTGCCATAGACAGGGATACGGCACAGGGCACAGAAGAACCAGAACATTATTGTTCCCATCAGGCTCATCTATACTTAGACAAGCAGTACTCAGTGAAACAGATGCCCTTCTAAGTCACGGAAGAAAAAGCAATGGGTTCAGGGACCTCTGCACAATTTGTAGTCAATGCTATTTGGGAGTGCCTATATACAATTCTGTTTAACAGCTGTGATATGTTTCTTGGCAGTGAAGCGAATGCTTGTAACATTATTAAGTACTAGAGCAGATGTTAAGGCATGGTTCTGCATGTCAGTGCCATGTTGAAAGATGCATGAAATGGGTTTATTTTATTGTGAACACCCCAGAGGTTGATAAGACCTCTCTTAACAGAGAACAGCTGGACCGACTGCTTGCAAACATAGCTTCACTTTGCCTCTTCTTCCACTTAAAAGCAAACAGCATAAAAAAATCATCTCCCCACAAATATTTAGGTCTCAATTCAAACAACTGCTCAATTCAAACAACATGTATTATCGCTGGGAGTTTTTTCTGAGACAATCCATCAGCATGTACAGCAAACATGATGCACTGGTAAATTTCAATATTATTTATTAAAAAGGCATTTTTATTATAAATACATTTTAAATGTAGCAGTAAAATACATTTTTGTGTTACCATTAATCTTTAAAAATAAAGAGTGCACCAAGACAATCATTACACTTGAAGATACTGTAAGACCCAGTCCTCCACGCAGTTTACAAGGAATCGCAAAAAAAAAACAAAAACAAAAAAAAACTTGGTGAAACCATTTCAAAAGCACCTTCTGGATTTAGCAGTCTTGACCACTGGTGGACAGTTAATGCAATTTGTGTTCTGAAAGGTTTAGAACATTATTGGTGCTTTGCAACTCTTCTGAGCTACGTCTGAGGTTTCCGCTAATACTAGATAGTACTAACTTTTTAATATAAGGCCATATTCTTTGCTAAAGTAAGCCACGTTGAGTATCATTTGCAACACAACCACCTCAGTTATTTCACCGAAGATATTTATCTTGCCTCTCAGAGAATGGGATTAAATTGGAGATAACCTGTATTCAAAAGAGATCGTTTTGCTAACTCCCTTTTACTAACAGACCCACATGAAAGGGGAATTTATCCACAGAACCACAATGGCATCCCAGTTACAGAGCCTCAGGTACACCGTTATCTCATTAAAATCAACAGGGTTTAAATTGGCATAATCGTACATTGTGGCTGCACAAAAAATCTTCTCATTAGTCCTAAATACCTGGCCGTAACAGCAGTAGTGAACCTATAGGCATCCAGATGTTGTTGAACAGCAACTCCCATCATCCCTGAGCACTGGTCATGCTGGCTGGGCTGACAGAGGTTGGAGCCCAACCACATCTGGAGGGACTCAGGTTCTCCACGTCAGGGCTACCTTAACAGTTTGTGGGTGACAGCATTTTGCCAGTGGCAGCAAATGAAGAGGGTAATGAGCAGCAGCTCTTGTCATCTCGGGCGTATTATGAGGGCAAGAATGGAGCCAGGGACCCAAATGGAGAGAATCATGATTGCAGGGCCACTACCGTGTGAATGGGATACAGATTAGCAAGGGCTAGGTAAGAATGACAAGGGCAATGGTGTATTTCTTTCGAGAAATGCACAGGAGACCCAACCGAAAGGTAGCTTCTTCCAGACGGAGGGTTTTTAGTTAGCTGTGCTGATCTAGAACAAGAACAAGCAGGGTCTGCATGTGTTGCATAGTCCAATCTAGAGACTGTTGCACACACACACAAAAAACCTGAGCTAGCTGGTATCTTTCATGGTAGCTTCCCTCCCATTTCCAAGGCATGACAGAATTGCAGGCACGTGCACCTCGCAGAGGTGCTTCAGGAGTTTTGAGAGATGCTTGTGCCAACATCTGCATCCAACTTTTCCAGCAGGATGAAGATATATGCTCCCAGACGTTCCATTTCACCATATAATCACCCGTAGGTATGGGTGATGAGCTCAAACCTGGTGAGGAATGTATGGCAGTACCCATTACGTGGTGCTTCCATATAGAACATATACATGTCCTGCTCCAACCACTATATGCCCCTTTGAAGCCACCATCATGGCCAAGTGCATAGGCTATGCTGACTAAATCCTTCAGCAGCCGTCAGGTGATCACCTTAAAGCCTGCCGGTTGCTTAAACTGGGCTGTTGTATTGCAAATGAGCCTCCTGGTTACTTCTTTACTTAATTCTCAAATGGCTTTTATACGATGACTGCATTTACTAAAGGCAAAAGTGACCGGCCTAACCATGAGGCAATGTATTTGCTTCCAAAAGCAAAATTGATTTCCCCCCGCTCAGCCTCCCATCTCCATCTCTATACGCCGTTAAACATTACCTCAGTTTTAGCTAAGGCCGGCCTTGAAGGTAGAACTTTTTTGTTTTTAGTGTGTGGATTAAAGAGGGTTTATTATTTAATACCGGGTTTAAAAGCCCAGAGTGCACTATAGGAAAACGAAGAATTTACTTATTAGACTTGAGCAGGGCAACTGGCAGTGACATACTGCAGAGGAGGGCATGACGGTGGGGGGAAAGGTATCTAGAAAAATATATAATAAAGAATAGGTTGAAAGAGATTTATGATGACGTCATGTGGTGTTACACTGCAGTGTATCAGAGCATGAGCAAAACAAAACAAAAAAACAAAACAAAATGAACGTATGAGCAACTCCACATCTCAGACTAATGGCTGCTGTCAAATTCAATGTCAATAGCTAAATAGGTAGTATGCATACTGCAAGAAAAAAAGAGGGTAAATATCTGCAGCAAACACTAATAAAATATAAGTGGAAGGATATTCAATCTTACATCGGGAGAGAAATGCAATGCCCACTCCGCGAAGATGGCCTGCCTAAATAGGTACATTTCTACTGATATGGATGGGACAGGAAGCAGATTCAGAATTCACCATGAGTTGACTCCAATGAAATTGCCTGTGCAACAGGGCTTTTTCTTTTTCTCTCATTCTTTCTCTATTCCCCCACCCCCACCCTCCGAACTGTTCTGGGTGTTCCCTCAACCCTCCAGAGCAGTTCTGTGAGAGGGGAGAAAAGAAGTCCTGTTGTGCAGGTGGAAAGTCCTATTTTAATAGGACAACTTCATTGGATACAATCTTCACCACACACACTTTATCCTTCACATTTAATTTAAAGCTGAATCCTAATAGAAACCATTTTGCATTATCTTGGAGCAGCAAGACAAGCAGCTCCACTTAAAACTGCAGTGCAATGCCAGTAAACCTTATTTTTCACCACGTTCTCAAATACACAAACACACCTTTTGAGGGATACACTACTAGATTCAGAACTGTTAGCACAAATCCTCACAAATCCACATTTTAAGCTACTTTTGGGGTCTTCGTGACAAGGAAACTTGAGTACAAAATGCTTGGGCTGCAAGTCTACAAACAAGACAGATGTTCCCAAATGTAACTTGTCTAATTCGTATTTGTCTAGTAAACGTTGCAATTTGATAAGGATCAGATTTTGATCAAATAGAACAAACCACATCAGCTCTGTCCTCACAGCATTAGGGGTGGGGGGGAATTAAGATTTGAGGCTCTAGTGCAGTAACTCAGTCTGGTAGTGTTGAGCATAACATGAGCTGGAAGACAGGCAGTCAGAAGAGTCATAGGTAGGGGTGTTTGAACACTGATAATTTTCCTGGAGGAATTCGGGAAGATGAACAGATTGCGTAGACAAATGCTAAAGGTGAAGGAGGCAGGAATATTTGGGTGTTATAACCATTAAATATTAGAATGAAAACTCCAGCTATAACTTTGGAAGTTTGGATTTCTTCCAGAGGAAGGTTTGGACAAGTATAACAAACAAAACCTCATTTTTTTCTTACTTTTATCATCGGCTCTCATGGGACCTATTCTCACACAAATGCACTTATTTAGCAAAAATAATGATGCAAGAAGTGGGTCTTTTGCTAAATTTGGGGTGTCCATCAGGAAGAACAGGAGACCTAAGGTGGACATTTAATACAGAGATCACCGGTCACTCAGGCAGATCCTGCACTGGGATTCTCAGTGACAAATATGATGCAGTAGTATATGAAGATTGGGGCAGGATCAGGTCGATTAATATAGAGTAGGTGGCAGAATCAGGGTAGCTGGCCATTTAGATGAACCAAGGGGAAATTATAATAACTAAGTAGTAAAATGGCTTCTGGGCATGGAAGAAGAAATAAAATAAGAGACTGAGGATCTAGGATTTATCCAATACCATAATGCAATTAAATGAGACTGAATAAGTTCAATTGCCGTAACATCAGGAACCCTTCAAGATGCTTCCTGAAAAATGAATTCTCCAGCAAGAAGAAAAATACTTACTTTACCTAATGTATCAAATATAATGTTGACCAGCAGCTTTTCCTTTTAAATATTACCAAGCCTAAGTGGGTTACATTTGTAGTTCCACTAATGTATTCTAAAATTCTCTTTAAGTGCAGCAATATATGGCATGCTCCTATTAAAATAAAAGATGCTCGTTCCCATGACACTAGTATATTTTGTTTCTGAAAATGTGAAATGAAATAATGGTGGAAAGCACTATTCCTTTTTGGGGGGTGGGCAGGGGGAGAAGGGACTATGAAAATTATATAAGCTTTTATGTACTTAGGTACAGACCTAAGTACACAAGAGCAGTAAACTGTAAAAACACCAGGATCGTTAGAAATTTTATTTCACAGTAATTGACAACATGTATGCCTTTACTAATGGCCTACTCCTGACAAAAGACTGGCAATTCCACGAGAACTAAAATCAGTGAGAATGCTTTTAAGCAGAATTTGTCCAGTGGTAAAACTAAACACCAGCAATCTGAGTATATCAGAGCACTGGAATGGTCTGGAGCTTTCCTACCTTTGCAAAGCCAGTTCTATTTTCGAAACTGCTATAGCTCTGAATCTCTGGAGAAAACTGTATTTAACAACTCAGAAACATCAGTCTCACCAAGGTCCCCGTATATGCCAAATCTGACCGAAATCCACAATCTGTTAAAAAAAAAATCTGATGCGGAGTAAATGGATTCATTTTGTAGCCTCTTACTCATTTTAATCTCTGGAGTCTGAAAAGATAAAATATCAGTCTTCCAAACGCAGGTATACGCTTCCGACAAATGTTTAACAACAATAAGGCTGGGGTGGGGGGTGAAATAAAAGAAAGAAAAAGAAAGCATGTGTGTTTTTAGAAAGTTGCTGTGATGAAAATACCAGTGTATGACAGTTTAAAAATGAGGCCATCAGATGTCAACAACTGTTCCTCAGCTAACTCACAGATTGAAGTAAACGAACAAGCAAAATTTATTAGTTTAATATTTCAGGTAAGGTGAACAGAATAATAAAACTCTATATAAATGTGTGATTTTGAAACCCCTGAAGATATAGTGCTGACTTGAGTGAGTGCATTTGAGCTCTAACTAACCTGCTATCATCATCGACAGGGGTAGGCATCTTGGGACCACCACATGTTCTGGAATACAACTCCCATCAGCCCCACCTAGTATGGCTAAAGATGATGGATTCAGTTCAAAACATCTGGAGTGCATCAGGTTGCCTATCCCTGGTTTTGTACGTATCACTAACAACTCTTTATTGTGTCCACATTAAGTGGGATAAAAAGACAACAGTCCTGCCTTGGGTTGTGAGTGGGTAAATGTCATTGCCTTCAATAGAATTTGCCACGAGTAACCAGGGGCAGAGTTGGAACTCAGAACTTTAGGAGGTGACATCAGATATAGCGTCGTTTATTTCAAAGGGGCTAACCCTGGTTTATACCAACTGAGATACTATCATTATCAATCTAATTTCATTAGGGCCATTGTCTGCAGTACTCAGCAGACCAAAAATACTAATGATAATGATGAAAGCTCTCTTTAAGATGCAGAGAACTTAGCCTCTGGAACTTCCTGATACTGTGAGCTCAAACTGTGAAGCAAAATTGAGCAGGGACATTCTCCTTCACTTTTTTGTTTGTTTCTATACCGTTAAGAAATACAAGTTACATAGCCATGCAGCTTTAATCCTGCATTTCTGAACCACGAACCCGGTAACCATTCAGATATTGCAATGCATTAAATCAGTATGCAGATCTCTTATAGAAAGACCCTTTGGTGAAATCCCAACTTACCTGAAATCAGTAAGAAAGGCGATATTGATTTCAAGCCAAGCTGAGATTTCACCACAACGATTTACAAAAAAAACCCAACAGGGACAAATGGATTGTAACAAGAGCAAATATCAGATTGAATACAGCAGCAAGTACAGTAGCTCAGCAAAAAGGCTCCGGGTTAATTCCCAATGTTTTCAAAGCTGTGGGGAGCTGTGCCACCTCAAAGAGAACACACACTTTTAAAAATGATACTATTGAAAATATTACTCTCGCGTCTCACAATGGGAAATTAAAATAAATTAAAATATTGATAAAAATTAACGTCCCCGATCAGAGAGATCTTTTCAAGTGTAAAGGAGGACAAGGGCCTCTGTAGAAGCTATAAAAGATACATCCCTTACTTCAAAAGTATGAACAGTGTACAAGACCACAACCTGAAAGGTAAACATTACCCTAAAATGTTTTTTTTTCTCCAAAATTTTGTTACATATTGCTGTATAATTCTTTATATATTTCACTTTCAATATATAGTGGTAAAAGACCAAGATTGTGGAAAACCTCAGCAGAACATACAAAGATAAAAACAACCATATGGATTCACAAGTCCTCCCCCCTCCCCCCCTCACAACTTGACTACCCAAAATTTTGGATTAATTTGGATACAGCTTTGACAAACATAAAAATCTTCTTTAATGATGTTCCTCAAACAAAACAGTTAGCAAAATATCTGAAGATCCGTTGTATAATGTCACATTTAATGTAAACATCAAATAATGTACCAAAAGGTTTTACTGAGGTGGGGGCAAGGAGAAATAAAAACTTAAAGCGGCACAATTCTTTATACCACTAGAGAAGCCAAGAGTAGGAGAAACCAGATTACAAGCATTTACACATGCATAGTTGGGAGGGGGACCCAAATATTTTACTAAATTCACTCAATTTTTTTTAATAGTTATTAAACTACGAAGCACCCAACATAGCAAAAAAAAAAAAATTGTTTTTAATTTCATGATTCTTTTTTTTAAAAAATCTATCAAATTAATCTTTCCAACAAGCTAAATTTAGCAGCCTGTCCAAAAATAAAATGTGCAGGATTTTTTTTTTATTTTTATTTTTTTTAATCGACAACTGCTTTACTCTGAAAAGTTAAAAACAGTGGTGTGCGGGTCTGCAAAGAAGGTCTTCACTTTATCCTACAGTCAAAGGAGATTACTATACCACATCATACAGGTTCTAAAACTATAAAAGTTTTAGAATGCAGCATCCTTTCACAGAAAGTTGATAAAACTGAAAGTAATTATAAGATGCTGCACCTTTATTTTAAAAAAAATAATAAACAATTTAAGCAGACATAACATACATTTGTACATTAACTGGCCATTTCTGGTACAGAAACCCAGCATAGTATGCTAAATGTTATTGAATAAATGTAAATGCTACTTACAATTCTTTTTTAAATACAATTTAGACAACTTCTTTTTAAAAAAATTATATATATTTTTTTAAGTTGCACAGTTAACTTTTCAGCTGCTAGCTTTAATGCAACACATATATAATGTTACATTTTTTTTTCTTTTCTTTTTTTAAGTGTGTGTTTTTCTAGGGAAATTTTTTCAAACTTCTGACCCACATGGGGGGGCAGGGGGGGAGAGACAACGGAATATAATTTAAAAAGGTTAGCTTCAAGTCTAGCAGCAAAGCAATTAAACCAAGATATATTTACTAATATAAACAAAGAGAAATGGTGGCAACTGCATAGGAAGCCCCAACTATCTTAAGTCTACTGACACAAATAGAAATTAAAATGTTCTCTACAAAAATATTCTGATTATTTAAAATAGGAGTAAAAGCCATTGCTACCTGATGAACTACCTAGACTAAGTTCCTGAAACAAAGACAAAGGATCGCTATTCTTTTTTGCCTGCTCAGGGGGCGCTTTGGGCTTTGGTGGCGCCCTCAGAGCACTTGCGTAAGACATGGCCGGCTTGTTCGCACCAGAGCTGGGCTGGCTGTTGCTGTTGGATTCCACGATCTGCTTGTTGGGCATGAGGGGAGGGAACTGGCCAAGATGCTGGAGCATATTGTAATTAAAAGAATTGGACAGCTGGATGTTCTCAACTTTCATCGGTTCCTCAGGCGGCTTGGCGGTCTTTGAAGGAACTGGAAACAGAAAGCAAAAAAAAGAAGAAGGTAGCCCCTTTTAACATCTCATAGACTTTTTGCGCAAAAAAGAAACAATGGCATCTGGATTTGAGGATTGAAGATAATGTCTGTTTATAGAAAACAGATATGTGGCGTGTTATATTGGAGTAGACGAAGTGAATACTGTTTTTATACAATAACAATAATAATAATTTATTATTTATACCCCACCCATCTGGCTGGGTTTCCCAG